TGCGCATTTGGAAAGGTGAAGAATAAATACGCGGCACATAGCGATCACTGGACCACAGCAATTCTGAAATTCCATTAGGTAAGTGTTGTGGGAATTTCTATTATTAACTACTTGGGTCCCTCTACTCTAAGATAAGGGATGTTCCTTGATTAGACTCACATTCTGCCTCACAGGGATAGCTCTCGACTACATTTTGCTCCATTGTTCTTGGCTCTGTCTTCTCAAAGGCCCTTCTTTTTCCATCATACTTCTTGCTATTTTGTGAAGAGAACATTGGAGAATATGACATTCTTATCAACCCAGTTGCTTTTTTCGAACCCCTTCTTGATTGAAGAAAGTTGAGGTTCATGAAATCTTTCTACATCTTAAACAGTCTCAGTCTCTTTTAGTCTAGGCCGGGAGCACTTTTATACATATGTGTCTCTCAAAAACACTGTGGATTTTCTATTTATTTGACTCCAATCAACTTCATATGTCAAAAGGTTCATCCACAATTCTTTCTGAGATAAGCTGTTATCTCTATAGACTTAATTACCGCTACTTTGGACATATTCTGGCTTCCGTAGGACTTTGCCCACAGAACTTCTGGGAGTTTCTTTGTCCATCTGAAAGAATCTAGTAGACACTCTTCTGTTCTTTCAGAAGTCTTAACAGAAGATGTTATGGCTACATTCTAGCCTTGATAATTAACCCAAAGTCATGTCTTATTGATAACACCAGGATTTCACTTTTGCTGTGTTTTAATACCCACACCTTTGGTTTGATAAAAATCTTTCTGAGTTAATCTATTCCTTGTAGTATCTCATTAAATGCACCTTATGCCTTCAACATTCTACTTCAAAGCTTCTTGCCCACATCTATTTATTAGGTATATTTTTTGTCTTCCAAGTCACCACACATGACAGTTTTACCAAATGTTTTGCTACTGATACAACACAAGCAATCATTTTTCTAGCTTCCTATAATTTGCTGCCCACCACCCAATCCCAGAGCCAATGCCACTTCCAGGTACTATTTTCTGTATCAGTCAACTATTGCTACCTAACAAACATCCACAAAAGTGTCAGTCCTTTATGACAATAAGCATTTGTTGCACTCTGGCCTACAGATCGGGGATGATTCTGCTTCAGGCTGTGGGTCCACTAGGCTTGTTCTGAGGGTCTGTGCCAGACAGCAAGGCCAAATTCAGAAGCATGTTTTAGCCTCTGTTCACATCACAGACATGAAAATCTTATTGACCAAAGCAAGTCACATGGCCAAGTCCAAAGTCAAGAGGCAGGAGAGTATATTTCACCATAATGAGAACATGTTGAGAATATGGATACAAAATATTACCATACTGGATGAAAGAATTAGGACCAATAATCCCATTTATCACACTAGTAAAACTTTACCTATAGGAGGATTTCTATGCCTTAAATGTTTTAAATTCCTGGACAATTTCTAAAGATTTTTCTAGTTTTTGGAGCACCATGGAAATAGAATGTTTGCATGGGTAAAGGGTAAATCAGCAAGTGCAGAAAGGGCCAGTCCTGTTTGGCAAGCTCTGGAGGTGGTTGTGTGTTTCACCAAATGCCTGTAAAGAGTGCAAGGAAGGTAGTATGGGCATGCTGCACAATTAACCAGCGTATCCAGAATTAATCCATCACTTGTTATAGGATATCATTTTTTTGCATGCCATAAGTTGTTCAAGCCAGGCAGACTCATTCAACTGGAAGCTCAAAAATATATTTTAATCCACCAACATTCACGGTAGCATTACATATGATAGTCAAAAGATGGAAACAACCCAATGCCCACCAACAAATGAATAGATACACAAAAAATTGTATACACATACAATAAGATTTTATCTAGCCTTAAAAAGAGATGCGTCCTGATACATGCTACAAAATGGATGAACCTTGAAAACATTAAGCTAAGTGGAATAAACCAAGAAACAAGACAACAAATGTATGATTTCACTTACATGAGGTACCTAGAATAGTCAAATTCACAGAAAAAGTAGAAAAGTAGTTACGAGGTGCTAGAGGTGGAAAGAAATGGGGAACTATTGTTTAACAGATACAAAGTTTCCATTTGGGATGATGAAATGTTCTGGTGACAGCAGTGATGGCTGCACAATGTAAGTGGATTCAAGTCACTGAATTGTACGTTTAAAAAATGGTTGAGGCTGGGCACAATGCTCATGCCTGTAATCCCAGCACTTTGGAAGGCCAAGGTGAAGGAATGCCTGAGCCTAGGAAGGTTGAGGTGGAGAATTGCCTGAGCCTAGGAGTTTGACACCAGTCTGGGCAACTTGGCGAGATTTCACCTCTTCAATAAATTAAAAAATTAGCTGGGTGTGGTGGCACATGCCTGTAGACCAAGCTATTTGGAAGGCTGAGGCAGAAGGATCATCTGAGCCCAGCAGGTCAAGGCTGTGGTAGCTGTGATTGTGCCACTGCACTCTAGCATGAGTGACAGAGTGAGACTTTGACTCAACAAAAAAAAGAGCGATGGGAAATAATTTTCTAGTGGTGAACCATTAAAAATAAGAACATAGGGCCTTGTAACTGATCTGAAACATCAGAACGTATAGATTGTTTTCTTTCCTGACCACTCCTCCTCCACAATTAAGACGATGACTTAATTGGCACTCGCCTTGGCTTCCATTCTTCAGAGCACAGTGAAATATCTGGTTTAGTGTGTCTGTATGTCCACTTGACCTACCCTTTTACCATCCTACCCCCAACTGATTTTATAGAAGAAGGCAGATAGCAGAGTCCAAATACTAAAGTGTAAGAATTATGTTGGGGTGGGAGACAGACAGCCACCACTACAGTGGAAGGGGGGGAAAGAAACTTTTATTCAGTCCTCTTGATTTTGACCTCCCCACCCCCATTTTACTCCTGGATCCAGAAGTATGCAGGACTGCCGGTCCCTGAGCACTCTGAGGGTTCTATAGCAAACCAGGTTGGTTCTCAGCTTTCCAACTGCCAGCTGAGAATCTGTCTCTCTGTTCTAAGTCAATCTATCCATCCATCTTACTTTCCAGATTGCAAACTTTTGTTGCTGATGTCTCTTTTCCTGTTTTCCTCATACTTGAGATTTTTCTTTTGGTGCTGGTATTCCTGTGTCTGCCTGTCTGTCCATCCATTAATTCATCTATCATCTTCCTACCTATCTTCCCATCCATCCATCCATCTCTCTTTATTGTAATAGGTTTTAGTGAGGCTTTAGAGGGAGTGAAGCTGTGTATACTTATCTGACATCTTAACCTGGAATTCCAGATCTAAAGTGATACCAATCAATATCATTGTGTTTCTCCCGTAATGCTGAGCAGCTCAGGTGCAGGAATGGAGTAGGCAGACAGATTGAATCAGGGTTGAAGTTCTGCCAGATAAGAAATAATGGAGGGAGTGCGGTGACAGAACTTAAGCATACTTTCTTTGCAAGGGAATAATTATATTGACACAGTACAGACTCTAAAGCTGGGTGAGGAGGACAGTGAGAATATAAGATGAGTGAAAAAATTGGCAGTTCACAGATTGAAGACTCAAAGATTATTTTAGAAAGTGCTCAGCTGGGAGCAGGAAGGATAGTGAGCAGAGGACTTGAGATTTAGATTTGAGACTGGAGGGGTGGCTATTGAGGGTGACCTTGGGAAGGGTGGTGTGGCAGACTCTTCCAAAGGCCACAACAGCATCTCTCAACCCATTGGGTCCTCTACAATGTGACAATGCCATACCCCCACTAAGAGGTGGAGTCTTACTCCTTCGACTCGTATCTGGGCTGACCTTAGAACTTGCTTATAACCAACTGGGAGGAAGTGAAGCTTTGTGACTTCTTAGGGTAGGTCAGAAAAGGCAATGTCTTTTCATCCTGGACCTCACAGAATGCTCCCTCTGGGGGAAGCCATCCATCATGTGGGTAGTTTCACCACCCTAAGTCTACCATGCTGGAGTGCCTGACTGACCCAGCTGAGCCTAACCTTCCAGCCACCCCTGCCAAAATACCAGATGTGAGTGAAACTGTCTTAGACCCCACTAGAGCAGCCAGCTAGGCACCTCTGAGTGACTTGATACCACAAGGAGCAAAATCACCCCGTTGAGCCTGGCCTGAATTCTTGACCTATATAGTGAAGTATGATTAAAATGTTCGTGTTTGTGATTTGCAAGTCTCTTTTGTCCAGACCACTCCCATGAACTCCAGATTCATACATCCAAATGCCTTCAGAATGTCTCCACTTAGATGCCTAATAGGCATCTCAAATTTAACATGTCCAAAACTGAGCTCCAGATCATTCTCTCAAACGTGCTCTCCCCTGTCTCAGTTAAAGGCAATTCAATTCTTCCAGTTGCTGAGGCCAAAATCTCTGGTGTCACCTGCACTACCTTCTCACGCACTCTGTATCTAATATATTAGGAAATCCTATGGACTAATATATCCAGATTTCAACCACTCCTCACCACCTCCACTGCCACAACCCTTGCCCAAGCTGCCATCATTTTTTGCCTCAATTACTGAAATATGATTAGATTCCTTCTCTGCTCAGACTCCTCCAATGGCCCTCCATCTCAATCAGTGTAAATAAATGCCAAGGTGTAGACTAGGACCTGCGTGGGCTTCCTCACCTCTCTGTTCATCCCTGTTCCTCAGGCTCAGCTACAATAGCTTCCTCCCTGTTCCCTAATCGGGATAGACATAGTCCTGTCTCAGAGTCTTTGCTACAGCGACTCTCTCTGTTAGGAAACTCCTCAGAGACCCGCGGAGCTAGCTCCCTCCTTTCCTCTGTGAGGTCTTCTATTTACCCCACACCTTAATTTCAACCTGTCACTCAGAGACACCTCGAAACCTCATTCCTTGATTGTCTGTTCTCCTCTGCATGTACCACTGTGTGGCATGCCATATATTTTACTTATTCATTGTCATTTCCCCCACTTGGATATAAGTGTCACAGGGCATGCAATTTTGTCCACTGTTTACTGCTGTTTAGATGAGTACCAGGTACACAGACAGCACCCAAAACAAATTTATTGAATGACAAAACTTCTCAGTACAGATTATACCATCCCAATCAAAGGACAAAATAAGGGAAACAAAGAAGGGAAATACAATTTTAAAAAATTCTAACAAGAGCTATATAATCATAGTTTCCATCTATTACAACTTCATTCAATCACTATTCACAATTTTCTAACTGCAATCCTGATGAATGCAACAAAGTTCATTTATTTTTTGTGATATTCTTCTTTTGATTTTGAGTCTTTGCCATCTTGGAATCCTAAGAGAACTGCATCAGCCTCTAGTATAGTTGTATCTGTTGTTCCTCCCAGGAATCTAGATGTAAGTTCAAGATCTAATAGACGCAGTCGGACCCTGGTTCCTTTCTGGTATTTCCTAGATAGAAAGAAAAAATAATCCATTAATTCTGAATATCATAACATGAACAACTAGTTTAAAAACAAATCCAAATTCTAATTTTAATTTGTGTTGGCTCAAGATAAAGAAGATAACACTGGTATCTGAGAAATAGTTGTATGTGACATAAAAGTAATTCGAGCCGGGCTCGGTGGCTCAGCCTGTAATCCCGCGCCTTTGGGAGGCTGAGGTGAGTGGATTGCCTGAGCCCGCGGGTTCGAGACCCGCCTGGGCAGCGAGACCTCATCTCTACAATAAATCCAAAAATCAGCGGGGCACGGTAGCGCGTGCCTGTAATTCCGGCTACTTGGAAGGCTGAGGCGGAAGGATCGCCAGAGCCCAGCAGGTCGAGGCTGCGGTGGCCGGAAGCGGCCACTGCACTCCAGTCTGGGTGACAGAGTGAGACTTCCACTCAAAAAAAAAAAAAAAAAGTAATTCGGTTATATCAAAATTTTCAGCTTAAAGCTAGCTGCCTTAAAAGATTGGCTAGGCACAGTGGCTCACACCTGTCATTCCAGCTCTTTGGGAGGCTGAGGTGGGAGAATTGCTTGAGCACAAGAGATCATGTGAGATCAGTCTGGGCAACATAGTAAGACTTTGTCTCCACAGAAATTTTTTAAATTTTAAATTTTAAAAAATTAGCAGGGCATGGGGGCACATGCCTATAGTCTCAGCTACTCAGGAGACTGAGGCAGAAAGATCACTTGAGCCCAGGGGGCCAAGGCTATAGTGAGCTGGACTCACACCACTGCACTCTGGCCTGGGTAACAGAGACACTGTCTCAATAAATAAAATAAAATAAATAAAGATTTCATAGCCCCAGTAAAAGTGTACTTCAAACTGAAATTCAAACAAGTCAGTTCTTAAAACTGGTGTTTATTTTAATATGACATTTATTTTTAAAGTCAAAGGGTATCAATAAGAAAGGTTTTCAGATAAAGTTTTCCTCCTAAAATTAAAATATTTTAAAGTAAAGTAAAATTTTACAAAAACAAAATGAAAAAAGTTTAAGTACAAAGTACTTTATATTTGGGATTGATTGCACTGTTATTAACATGTAATGCCAGTTGGATAAACCTGGAGGACGTTATGTCAAGTGAAAAAAACCAGGCACAGAAAGACAAACACCACATGATCTCACTTACATGTGGAATCTAAAAGGGTTGGACTTAGAAGTAGACTGCAGCCTCAGTTTTTACCAGGTCAAAGGATACAAAATTTCAGTTAGACAGGAAGAATAAGTTCAAGAGATCTGTTGTACATCATGGTGATTACAGTTAATAACAATGTGTTGTAGACTTAGAAATTCCTAAGAGAATAGATTTTAAGTGTTCTTACCATAAAAAAATGATAAGTATGTGGGGCGATGCATATGCTAATTAGCTAAATTTAGCCATTCTGCAGTGTACACATATTTCAAAATAACATGTATACACAATAAATATACACAATTTTTATTTTCAGTTAAAAAACAAATAAGTTAGGGGAAAAAATGCAATGCCAGCCATGACATACATGATGACTCAGTTTGGTCAATAAAATATTCAAATATTTTATAATACCAAATGAAAACTGATACTCATTTGCCTTTCTTCCTTAATTATTTTAAGTTTCACCTCAACATACAGAACAGCAAGAGTGAAAATACTGCTACCAATTAAAAACCACAAATCTTTAAAGATCTAAATATATACTTTACTCTAATTTTAAAATTAAATATACAAAAATAAATATGTATATGTGTGTATTTGACAGCAAAGATCATATTTTCTGTGTCTTTGTTTAAAAAAATTTGACCTATCCTCCATGTTGCAGATAGAAAAATGATGGTACACAAAAGTAAAGCTACTGGCCTGATGCTTCTCAGGGGTACAAGAGGATTCACAGATCTTTTGCTCTTCCTTTTCTTAAGTTTTCAATTACCTGTGACCTCTTGGAAGAAGAGTAAACTTAATCCCTTTAGGAATGGTAAGAATGTATCACTTATAATCTTATAGCGTCTTTCTTATTAAATAAAACATAAGCTGCCATCACTCATTCTTTCGATTATTCTCCATTAGAAAAATGGTTACTTTCAATGGTAACAAATAATGAATTAAATAATCAGGACAAATGAAAATCTCCATAGCGTCACACAATGTTGTCTATTTTTTAACATCCTTTTTTTTAATTAGAAAAAAAAAAAACCTAGATAGCAGTTTTTCAGAAATCTACTCCATATTAAAACCAAAGAATACTGATGTCTTGAAAGACAAATAGGATGTCTCCACTGAGCACATTCAAAATGGAAATAGCCTGTGCTTTTTAACTGCTGTTGGATTCTTTTAACTTCAAGTGCTTGCTGCTGACTGATCTTCATGAACTCCAGCCTCAATGGATTCAATCTAGCCGCTCCCAGGACTGCTCTCTTCTTCCGTGCACTTTCTCAGACCATATGCTACAGTAAACGAGTCTGCGCATCTGAGTTGTATAGGAAAAGGGCAATTAAATCTGGGCTTGCATTTCTGTATTAAGGACATAGTTTAAAGACTTTCCTTTGGAGAGGTTTTCAACATTCTTTCCATAGACATTCTTTAACATCTGTCAGTGCATGGTACTGATGGTTCTCATAGACTTAAAATAGAGAGAATCTCTGACTAGTTCTTTGATATAAATATACTAAATAATACAAAACCAACAAATACAAGGCTTGGATTGAACTTCAGTATCCAAAGAGAATATTGTAAGGAATTCTGACTTTGCTAGTCAAATTAGCTGTCTTGCTGTAATCATAATTCTCAGAAGTTTTAAAATAGTTCTTTTGAAATCATTAACCGTTTGTTTTCATTCCAGTAAGTTAAAACTGTTCCGGTTTTTTCTGACTTTCCTGCAATTCCTTAAAGTTAAGGCTATTGAAGTAAATTTTTCTTTTTTTCCCTTTTCAAGAGAAAAAAAGGAAAATGTTTCTAATGGTTTAATTAATACCAATTTGTTTTTTTCTAATCCACACAAAGGCTCACCATCATGCTGATCTACATGTAAAGCCAGCAACCATGTCCCCATATATATGTGTGGGAGCATGTGGGAATGTGTATACTTTGCTCTTTAATGAATTGTCTGGGCCTCAATTTCCTCATTATTGAAAAGCACAAGGACAGGAAGGATTTAAGTCTTGTGCAGTTGTATAGTTTCATTCCACTTTCACACAATTTATGTGTGTGCAAACTGATAGAGCATAAAGTGACATTAAGTGCAAAATTGATTAAATTTACTCACAAAATTCAAAATTTTAAGCTCTTTTTAGTTATATAAAATGTTGACAACTTTGAATATTCAATTAACAAGTGAACCTTTATATGCAGACTACTTGGTGTTATTTCACATTGACCCCACTTTTTTTTTTGAGTGGGAGTCTCACTCTGTCGCCCAGGCTAGTGCCATGGCACACTCACAGCCACCCCAGCATCGACCTGCTGGGCTCCAGCGATCCTTCCACCTCCGTCTTCCAAGTAGCCGGAACTACAGGTGCATGCTACCACGCCCGGCTAATTTTTGATTTATTGTAGAGATGAGGTCTCGCCAAGTTGCCCAGGCTGTTCTCAAAACCACGGGCTCAGGCAATCCACTCGCCTCGGCCTCCCAAAGTGCTGTGATTATAGGCTAAGCCACTGAGCCCGGTCCTCAGCCCCACTTTTTAAAAGTACAATCTGCCATGCTTCCTTGACCCATCCAGTCTACTGCTTCTTTCTGTTCAATTTCTGAGACGCCCATCAAGAGTCTCTCGTTTGCTCTTCTTAATCCCGACATGTTCATAAATATGCAACATTTCATAACACCTAGCTGATTTCTAAGCAATCTGTTGAATAAGTGACTAATTATTTAAAATATGTACCTCTCTGTTTTAGTAAAGCTCTTCACTGTACTATCTGTGCTGATCAGGCACAGCAGCTGTGGCTAACAAAATAAAGGAGAGCATTCAAAAGTTCTACTCTCCAATATTTCCATTCATCATCAAAATTTTAAGCAGCACAAATCTTAAGTCCTAATTTACTATCCCAGGTCATGAAAAGGTGTACATTGAAAATAAAAATTATTATAATTTCTGCTTCCTGAATTACCAAAAGACCTCTGAAAAAAATAAATGATTATCATTTAAAAAATACTATATAGAGTGTGCCTATCAACTGGGCCAAAATAAACAACGCAGATAACTGGTAACTGAAAATCCACGTGCCCTCATGGCAAGGAGCAGAGGAGACTGTTCATAAAACCAAAATGCATTTCTTCAAACTGCACTCATCCTAGATAAGGATTTTAATCTCCTTCTGCAATTCTAATATGAATGTATGATTTTGTTTTTCCTTAAAGCCAAGTTCCTTTTAACCTTGCCCTACTAGTATCTTGTGCCACCACAAAGAGAAGTTTTGTCTCTTGTTCAAGCATTGATTTATTTTACAAAATGTCAACATGGAGCATTTTTTAAAAGTCCAGTAAATAGCTCCAGTTTTTGATAATGCGGATTATGCATATAACACATTAAATATGGCATTAATAATGACAGTGACAATCTTTTCTCAGTTACAAAATAAGATGTGTCAAGAAATGAGGGAAAGGAAAATCCTATCACTCAACACCCATATCAGTTCTATTTTAATAAAGAAAGTAAATGTTTGTTGCTAGTCAAAATATAAATATATACATACAGAGGGGGCAGGAAAAAAATCCAAAGGAAATAAGAGTAAATGCTTTCAAGCACCTGACATATGCTGATGACTAAAACTGAGATCAAATCTGACACTAATATTATGGCACCTAAGCAAAAAGGGATACATTTTTGTAATATGTAATTTTCATTTTATGAGAAAGAAAACAAATATGCTTATTGGCTGAAATAAGTTTTGTCAGTAGAACAGAGGTTTGACTGTGACCAACTACCAGGAATTTACTTTTTTCTGGGCTGTTATCTGTAAAATGAAGGCAATATCCAAACTCACAAGTTA